TGAGGTTCGAGACCATCTAAGGAACCTGAAGGTGCATAAGTCCATGCGGCCTGATGAGGTGCATCCGCGGGTACTGAGGGAACTGACGGATGAAGTTGATAAGCCGCTATCTATCATATCTGAGAAGTTGTGGAAGTCCGTTGAAGTCCCCACCAACTGGAAAAGAGGAAATATAGCCCCCATTTTTAAAAAGGGCAAAAAAGGAAGACCCAAGGAACTACAGGCCAGTTAGTCTCACCTCTGTGCCCATCAAGATTATGGAGCAGATCCTCCTGGCAACTATGCTAAGGCATATGGAAAAAAAATGTGATTGATGACAGCCGACATGGCTTCACTAAGGGCAAATTGTGCCTGACAAATTTGGTGGCCACCTACAACAGGGTTACAGCGGTGGTGGATAAGGGAAGAGCAACCAACATTGTCTACTTGGACTTGTCCAAAGCATTTGACACAGTCCCATGCAACATCCTTGTCTCCAAATTGAAGAGACCTGGATCTGAGAGATGGACCACTTGGTGGATAAGGAATTTGCTGGATGGTCTCACTCAAAGAGTTGCGGTCAACAGCTCAATGTCTAAGTGGAGACCAGTGACTAGTGGCATCCCTCAGGGGACAGTACTGGGTCTGGAGCTGTTTAACATCTTTGTCAGAGACATGGACAGTCGGATTGAGTGCACCCTCAGCATGTTTGCTGAGAACACCAAGCTGTGTGGTGTAGTCGACACACTGGAGGGAAGGGATGCCATCCAGAGGGACCTTGCCAAGCTGGGGAGATGGGCCTGTGTTCAACAAGGCCAAGTGCAAGATCCTGCACATGGGTCAGGGCAATTCCAAGTATAAATACAGACCGGGTGGAAAATGGATTGAGAGTAGCCCTGAGGAGAAGGCCTTGGGAGTGCTGGTTGATGAGAAGCTCAACATGAGCCAGCAATATGCACTTGCAGCCCAGAAAGCCAACTGTAACCTTGGCTGCATCAAAAGAAGCATGACCAGGAGGTTGATGGAGGTGATTCTGCCCCTCTGCTTTCATGAGACCCCACCTGGAATACTGCGTTTGGCTCTGGGGCCTCCAACACAAGAAGGTCATAGACCTGTTGGAGAGGGTCCAGAGGAGGACCACAAAGATGATCCAAGGGCTGGAGCACCTCTCCTATGAAGACAGGCTGAGAGAGCTGGGGTTGTTCAGCCTGGAGAAGAGAAGGCTCTGAGGAGACCTTAAAGCAGCCTTCCAGTACCTAAAAGGGGCCTACAAGAAAGCTGGAGAAGGACTTTTTACAAGGGCGTGTAGCAGTAGGACAAGGGGCAATGGCTTTAAACTGAAAGAGGGGAGATTTTGATTAGATCTAAGGAAGAAATTCTTCCCTGTGAGGGCGGTGAAACACTGGAACAGGTTGCCCAGAGAAGTCGTGGCTGCATCCCTGGAAACGTTCAACGCCAGGTTGGATGAGGCTTTGAGCAACCTGATGTAGTGGAAGGTGTCCCTGCCCAGGGCAGGGGGGTTGGAACTAGAGGCTCTTCAAGGTTCCTTCCAACCCTAATCATTCTATGATTCTGTTTCTGCTCACAGTCAGTGGAGAGTCTAAAAGAAGAGTATATACCATGTTGGTATGCATTCCAATGGGAAAATGTTGAAGCTTTCAGGTGTGAATATATATGGGACTGTCACTAGCAGACAGAAAAGTGTTTTGGAGAAGCAACTCCAAAGCTGATCAGGGAAACATAAAAAAAACACCAGTGTATTACTTGGAATACATGCAATGGGACTCCCCCAATGCAAGTTCAGCAGCTGGAAGAATTTCTCCACAGCATCAGTAAGACTGAAGAGAAGGTCTCCACTATATACCAGATATGCCCTGACCCAGCTGAACCTACTTAAAGTTTTGAACAAGTAAAGTCTTGTCCAGCCTGCAACTTGCAGCAGTGATGGAAATGCCTGCTGATTCAGTTGTATTTGTAGATGGTTTCCAGGGTTTGCTTCTTTGATTTCTTTGGTCTCTTTTAGTTTTCTTCTTTACATCTGGGTAATGAGTTCCCTTCCCTCTCCCTCCTTTAACTAGGTTAAAAACCCTCTGACTTCCCCAGTTTCTTCAAAGCCCTGGCTCTGCTTCCCTGTGCTAGGCTGGTTCCTCCCTAGAGGCTTCCCAGTGCAATCCACTCCCTTATCTTGGTTCCTGATCTTGAGGGAAGAGACAAAACAGCCAGCAAGGAGAGGCATATAGCAAGAGACAGCTCAAGACCACTCAGCAGTTCAATTTGTCCATCTCAAAGATGAGGACAAAGTAATATATTTTTCCTTTCAAATTTAGAAGTAAAGATGGTTTTTTAGTTATATCAAAATAGTTTTCTAAGTCTCCTCTCCACCCCGTAGGGTATGGGACCCTGCTCAGCCCCAGGGAGCACAGAGATGCAAGGCAGTAAGACAGCCTATCCCACAGAGCTTTGAAGAATCCCCTTATGCAGCCCACCATGACCACAGGGAGCTGGGGGGCCATGTCATGGGCTGGCAAGTCATGAAAGACGAGGGCATGGGAAGAGTCGTGTGCGGCACTGTTCAGCACCTTCTGGCGTGACCCCCAGGGCAGCTCCTTCACAAGCTGACCAGATCACAGCCACGTGATCCTAGCCAGCCACGAGCCAGGATCTTTTAGGACCTTACAAAGTCTGAGATTGGTTCTTGACACTTCCTTCATCCCCAATTTGGAAAGTCACTAGGCAACAGAATTTGGTTGCTTATGCCTGAAGTAAAGACTGCAACTTGCTTTTATGTGTCCTATTTGCACAGATCTTTCCTGGGGACAGGTGTAAGAAGATGGGGTTGGAGGAGCTGCTGTGTGATAAATTCAGACACAATTCCACTTTTTACTTGCCAGAATATCCTCTTCCCTTGCATTCCAGGACCACAGGATAGAAAATTATATATATCATCAAAGGCTATATGTTAAGATCCTATCTATCCGCACTATGAATTGTAACTATGTTGTACATGAGCATCCTGATTTGATGCAGCAGTAGCTGAGGCAGCCTCTGGGGTAGCACCACCAGAAACAAATTGTGCTCTCTCTGGAGCACTGTG